GCAGCAGCAGGTGAGGCAGGGGGCCCAAGTTGGAGTTAACGTTGGGCGGAGTTCGGCTGCTTGAGACACCAAACTCTTCGGCCCGAGTTCCCCAGCTGAAAGCTTGGGGCCTTTGCCCATGGAACTCCGATTTCTCGAGTGGCTCCAGGCACGGGTCTGGAAGGGTGATGCTGTTGAGAATTGCTGTTGGGGAGGTCTTTTTGTTGTGTGTGTGTGTGTTTCTGTGTGTGTGTGTGGAGTGTGTGGGTGGTTTTAGCAGATCACATCTCTGGAACAAATCGAACGCCCTGGCACCCCATTCAGTTGCCGCCTGGGTCTGATTGAAAAGGTTGATTAGAGGAGGCTGAGCGCTACGAACTCCATTATGCCGTTCGTCTTCACTTCAACATCTTCAATGATGGTGGTTTGATTGAGGAAGGCAACTGAAGCAATTGGATGCTTGGGAATTGGGCTCATCCTGGAGATATTTCCTCTCATTTTGCGGAGTGGCACCTTTGCATGAAAGGTACTGGTGCTTCGATTTTCTGTGTTCCTTCAGGTAGCCCTGAATTGGTGGCTGGTGGATTTGCACCCCTGGTTCTGGTTGAGGGTATCTGGGAAGCTACCCCCTGAACTTCAAACCACCATTCCGAATCACCAATTGGGGGGCGGCAGCTGATTCATGGCAGACTCGCATCCCTCTGTTTTGGAGCCTACTGACACCCTTCAAAACGTATACCCCGCCCACATTCAAGATTCTACAACGTATACCCCTCGACCCCTTACCTGAACCCACGCAAATGCTGACTGGTAGATTGCCTAATCTTGGCAAAGGCTGAATGTATGAGCCTATGTATGAGTTCATGGTATGAACGCCTAGTTCATTTCCTAACCAACCTGGAATTATGGCAGACTTCTGAACACCGGGCCGCAACTGGGTCGAACACGGACGTCCCATGCGTTCACATATGGACATATACGGAGGGTTCGCGTGCAGCAAGCTGTATCTGTTGGTGCGAGGGTAACCGTCAAACGAATGCCCAGGTGGCACACATCTATATTAATATATTAATGCCCAGCGATGTCGGAGTAGGATTGTCAAGCTTTTCCTCGAAGCAAATGGAAGGTGTTTGCAGCGCGGTTTCTCAGGAGAAGCGTTTGCAGCAGCAGTTTGCCAGTGCCTCTCGGCTGTGAAAAAGCACGACGGGCTCACATTTTCTTCGGGAGCATTCGGCGATTTAGCCGTCGCTTGGCCTGGCGGGCCCCAGCGATACGGTAATCATGAAAGTCAGTCCTGGCAATGTCGATGCCCTCACTTGTCGGACATGCACCTCCGTAAGGGTCAAGTGTCCCCACTTCAAAATGACACCCGCAATGGACGGCCCCCCAATGGAATTCAACCGGGCCTCTTAATTATTAGCAGTCTGCAACTGGCCAGACTGCAGGGGGTTAAGTTGAGCGATTCGATTTTGGGACCCCAACATGGATTTCTTGATTCAGGTTGCTGACCCACTGTTCTTTACGGAAACATTGCGCATATCACGACCGCGCCTCATCCAGCTCACGCAGGTAGGCTCAACCTTTGGCACATAAATGGTTTTGCGGTTTGGCGAAGCTGCCGTATGCTTCCATTACGCGAAGAAGCGTGCGTCGCTCGCAGACGCGCTAGCAAGAAGCCAAATTCGCCCCGAGCAGCGGGGTCAGGGCCAGGGGGAGGCTCTTTTCAGGCAGTTGGAGGCAGCTGGAGGCTCGCGCCAAATCCAAGGATGAGGTTTGAGAAGGTCCCCCCTGCAACGCATGGAGCCTGAAAGGGGTCCATATTTCGAAGAAACCAGAAGGAAACAACCTTTAGAGTCAATACGACCCTCTTTAGCTTCACAGAAAAGAACCTTTTGCGAGAGAAATCATCGCAGAGATCATTCTTTTAGCTCCTTCCCCAGGAGCTTTCCCAGTACCAGGCCACCATGCAGGCCGGCTGCCGGGGGCCCAAAAAACCGGCAATGAAAGTCCCGGTGAAGCAGGCGTTCTCCCAAAGTTCGCCTGAAGGTCCCCCAAAATTCGCCCAAGATCGCAGTTTTCCGCTGTACTTGCTTTTCCTTTTGTCGGTGGTTTGGAGCCCACGAAACGTCCAAGCCCCCAGCCCCCCAGGTAGTGCCTAAAGTGATGAACCAATCCCCCACTCTAAGACCAGGGCACCCCCATATCAATAACTAAGGCTTTGTTTAACCATGGGCATCATGGGCTAACATCATGCGGCGCATTTTTTTTGAGGGCCCCCCTCTCGACCAAGAAGCAGGCGCAATTTTTCTGCGGTCCATCATGTTGAGATGGGCGGTGCCTAAACGAAGCCATCAGTGGGTGGGTGGTTTGCGCTCGTTTTTTCTAGAACGTTTTGTTCACCTCCGAAAGGCGGTGCTCGGCAAAAAGGGAGGACTCACCAGAGCCTTGTTGGTTCCCAGGGAATGACTGGCTCGGGTGTTGGAAAGGGAGGCTTCCCGTGCACCAAGCCATGCTGGTACAAGGGAACTCCAACGTCGCTTTCTTTGGCGCGTCCCTGCGGTCTACCACTTCTCACGGCTGCATGGCCTGCATGTCCCCCAAGTGGGGTATACTCATGGCCAGCGCCAGCTACTATACAACTGCCTCTTTGGAATAAATTCACCCATCCAGTCGCCGGTGGCCGTTTCCCACCTTGCCGGTTTTTCGGGCATTTTGGCGTCTAGAACGCGGCAGCCTGGCTGTCAAGTGGTTTGGTCACGGCTCGGATGGCGCCGAGGCCGGCGCGCGCAGGAGCAGACCTCTGGCCTAGTGGAGGTCACGGCAACAGGGGGGCTGTTGGGGGGGTGGGGGGTGGGGTGCGCTGGGGTTGGCTGACATCGGCCTAGAGGCCTGCCTGAAGTTTTGCTTCGGCCCGGGCGGTGAAATGAAGTTGTTCGTGTCCCTCTGCTTGGTTTTGGTTTTGGTGGTTCCAAGTCCCTGGCAGGGAGAATGACCTGAGACGTGGTTGGACATGGCAGTTTCGACTTGGCGAATGGACAAATGAAATCCGACAAAGGCTGAAAATGATGCCTTTTGGTTTGGCTCCTTTTTCAACTTGAATCCGGAGAGCATCTAGCCCAATGTTACGCTTGCAGGGGGGCCAAAGGCCAACAACCAGCATGGGTCACTGGATTTTCCTAGGCGCAACGTTCAAGAGTTTAAAGACTGACCTGCCACTTGAGGTCTGAGGGCAAACCCATTGACCCGAGCAGTCCATCGTGACAGACACTTGGGCCAAATCCAATGCCGTCTTGGGCCAAATCGTGGCACATCCCTGCCGAACCTGGGACTCCTGGTAGGTGCGCAGGCCATCAGATTACGTACCGGCGCGGTGATCTCTTGGTATGCACCCCTTCAATGAGCCATACTTATGGCTTGATTCTGGGAAACCTCATGGTCTCATATATGGACCGTACATTCAGTCTGTGGATTTAGAGCGGCGCAGTGCCGAGGGGAATGCTCCTTTTGTTTCTTCTCTTTTTTCAAAAAAATCAGCTTGGAGTTCACTACTGTGGATGGGCGAAATCCTGCACCATCTAAGAAACCCTGGAAATGATGGTTCCCGTTTAAATGCTAACAAACAAAGGTTTGAAAGTGGTGCGCCATGGATTTTGACCCATCCACTATGGACGGAATCAACAATCTTGGGTACTTGGTTGGGGCAGCGCGGCGCGTTTTTCCGCAGATCCGAGGCCCAAATTCAGGAAGTCCAGCAGAAGTCTGTGCTCCCGCCACGTTTACGACGGGCGTTCCCCCAAACCTGGATCCCTATGGGACACCCCTATTGATCAACCGGTGTAACCCTGGCTCCAATTGCCGCAGTGTTGTGATTGCCGCTATGTAGAGGTTACTTCATTTTTCAGCTGGGTTAGGGGAGTGGAAACGCCCCACATAAATCCAAGCCGGCAGAAGCAAAGCCTGGCTCAATGAAATAAAAAACGACCCAACTTTGCAGGCGGCTTGTGCTCAGCAGTTCCATGGGCTAGTATGCGGATTATTAAAGTCTTCAAGGGGTCTCTTCAAAGGGATTTCTCAATGGGTTTCCGTTACATGTCACGTCCTCCCAGGGACTGAAGCCCCTGTTTCCGCCCCCTTTCCAAGCAACAGGTCCGTTCGGACAAATGGAAGCCATGTATGTCCAAACCAAGCTGACTTTAGCTGGGTTCGAATCCATCCCCCCAATCCTGGGTTTGTGCCGCATTCCATTTTGGATTGGGAGGATCGATCCCCATATGTTGGAACCATCCACGGGAGCCACCATTTGGGTTTCCGCTTGGACACCCACCTCGATCCCCCTTCATTCCCAAACCACAAGGTGATTCCCTTGGCACAACTCCCTTTCTGTCGGCGAGTGCAGCGTGACGAGACCGGGGAGTTGTGCCCTCAAGCATCATGTTCCCATGGTACATGCCTTAATTTGGGATTCGTGGTACCCCAAATCCCCATTCCAATTATTTGGTCCCCTATGGGTGCGTCCCGTTTTAGGGCAGGTGTCCCATGAAAGCAAGAAACAAGGGGTACCGATCGTCTCTATGGGTTGTTTGTCCCAAAGTGGCTTTGCTTAAGTTTGCTTGTCTCTTTAAAATGGCACCGAGGCTTAACAAAAAGGACCCGGAAAGACCCATGTCACTCGCATTTGCAAGGCCCAGCATTCCTTCACGATTCTTGGCAAGTTTGTATTTTTGTTTTTCATTCTGTTCCTTTTTGGCAGCTGGGCTGCCAAAAAAAGACCGTCGTTTTGTAAGAAAACCTCAGAATTGGTACCCTGAAAAGACAGACCATGACAGCCCCCCCAAAAAATAAGTAAATAAATAAATAAATCGGCAGGTTTCAACGGCCCGCCCATAGCGTTTGGGTCGTGAAGACTCCATTTCTCGCTTTGAGACGTCGCATCGCAGGAGCTCCAGGTGGCGCAGTTGGCTCAGTCGCTCCACGCCGCGCTGGCGGACGCAGGCGCTAGGAATGTGGCTTTGGGTCGAGGCGGTGGGCGGTAGGTTTTTTTTTTTTTTTTTTTCCTCTCCTCCTCCCGATCAAAAGACGCCCAACATGAGACAGCCGCTTCCATTTGCTGGAAATGAAGATGCTTTTGCTAGTTGGTTCGAAGTAAGCTTTTAATCACTACTGGACACAGTGTCTTTCTTTCCAGGGGCTTAAGCAATTGGATGAACGGGAGGAAGCCCAAAACAAGGGGATGCGAAGGGGGATTGAATCTCAGCCCAGAATTCGGAGAATTGAGAAGTTTGGGCCATTCCAAATGCAGGAATCGCGATTGGGTCATGACTGCAAGGGAAGAACTTTCGCACCAAATAGAAGGCACGGCCATTTTGAGGTGACCCCCGAAGAGAAACGGGCAGCTTCGGAAGCAACACTGCGCTACACACAGTGGATGTCGGATCCCATGCTGGAGCGAGCGCCCTCAATAGAGACCATCCGGGTGAAGAACTGCGCGGAATACATTTTGGGATAGGTTCATTGGGATGCTTCCTACTGGCACAACCCCAAACGCTAGTCTTTTTTCCCCTCCACCGGAAGAAACCCGCAAGCGTGACCCGGCAGCAACGCAGCAATCCTCCAACGAGGACACAGGGGCGATGGATCAGCGATTTGTCTCGGACCTGGCTACACCTAAACTGTAAGATGGTTGCTTGGGGATTGAGCCGCCTATCTCTTGATAAAGGCAACTCGGGCAGCCCCTCCAGACCACCAAGTGCAGCCTGAGCCGCTACCCAGCTGCACGGGCAGCTCTTTTGGATTAGCAATCTTGAACGTACGTTTGCATGCTCCCAGGTCATGTTACCGCATTGATTGTTGGCTTGGGTTTGGACATGAACGGGGGCACTCTTCCTTTGATCCCCTTTCGGTTTCAAACCGAAGAATCCCGCGGGTTCCACCCGCAAAGGCTAGCCTTAGGTCAGCGGTTTTTGCCGTGAGGCCGCGAAGTGGCCGAAAGCCGGGCGCGAGGGCTGGGCGGAGGCCTCAGGTGCGATGCTGGCGACGGTGGGGTGAGGGATGAAGGTACACCCAGGTTGAGAAAGGGCTCCGTACATTCCCCTTTTGGGGAGTTTAAGACATCGCCTTTTGGGCCTTTGTCAAAAGGACCTTGGTTTTGGAGGGGTGGTGTTTAAAGAGATATGCATGGTTTACCCTCCCGATATGGAATCTGACGTTCGGGATTCGGGGTCTCCTGGCTTGGACGGGGGGGCCCTGTCCAGTTCCATGTCTGGTGGGAGGCTATCTGGCTGGGGCTCAAACAACCGGAATTCAAAAAAAACAAACTGGTAAGTGGAAACATGGACCAAAACCTGCGGTTTGCCCCTCCTGTTTAATTTTGAGCCACACCCATCTTTTTTCCCAGACCCGTTATGAGACACCCAGTGCACCCCCCGTCGCTTCAAGCTCGCCTCGCAGGCGAGCTTGCGCAGCTGCCGGGGGCCCAACTTGCCACGCCCATTCGGATCACGGAGCCATCTGAAACCGGCGCCCTTCGTACGTGGCATCGGATTTGTGTGGGAACCGTGTGTTGGCCCGGGGCAAAGTAAAGGGCTGGGAAGATCAGCACCTCAACCATGTCTGGTGCTGAGTGCCTGGTCTGAGAGTCACATTTCGTTGCCTTGCAGGGTGCCTGACTGAGTAACTTGGGTTGTCTCTATTCTTTATATGGCGTCCCCTTGGCCGCGTGACTTCACTTTATAGTAGTTATAGTGGTCGTAGAGCCTCTCAGTGAAGTGATTTATAGTGATGTTGCTTGTGTCCGCGAAGGTAGCGGGGGGCCTCAACGGAATAGTATGGGGAGCCACGTGGTTCCTATTTGGACATCCTTGGCATTCCAAGGGACGCCTACTAACGATGACCCCAGATCAACAAACCCCCGTTTGTTAATATGAATCCTCCAAAAGTGATGAATCCTCACTAAAAACAGCGACCCCCCCATGTTAAGAAGCAGGGGTTTATTAATCCCGCGTCAACATTATGTGTCGGGTACTTAGTGTCTGCTGAGCAGCCATGGTTGCAACCCACAGCTGTGACGGCCATGGTTCATGATTGTAAGCCGCCTTTCTGCGGGGTGATGTGCCACTTGAGATGGGCAGTCCTGCACCAGTTGGGAATGATGGAACCCGCCCCTTTACAGATGATGAATGGACAACATCCTGCGCCAGCTGGTATGTGGTTCACCGTGCACCCCTCTCTGGTTTCATTCACCCTAACTGATCCGCAGCCGCGTATACCCGAGGGCTACTAAAAAACGAATCCCCAAAGAACGGGGCAACTCAGGCGGTCCAGGCTGGCTTCTGCCAAAGCCGCCCTGGAGGAAGCACGTCGGGGCCTTGCTCTCACTGCCATCAGAGGGTTCTTGGCTTTGCCGACCCAGGCGGGAGGTCCATGTTCCAAAGGGGCGACCCGTCAAAATGAGAAATTGTTTGGGTTCTATGCCAATGCGTCAAAGTCAGCAGGAATTGGGTGACTTTGAGGTAACTTGGGTGACAGTAGAATGGTCCGAAACCTGCTTCCCTCAGGTCCCAGGTTGCTTTTCTCAGCTCCCAGGCCAAAGGGCTGGGGAGGGAACGTATCTCGAATGCTCATTTCCCGAAGGAAGCAACAAGCCGCTGGGTAGCTCATTACCCATGTCCAGACTCCCCCAGTTCTGGGCGCGAGCTGTTCGGACAACCCCACAAGTCCGAGGTGTGCGGTGCCAGTCCCCCGCCCCCAAAAATGGCCATCCAAAGTGACGGCCCCTTTCTTGCGATTGGTGCGATACGTATAGGGACTGCGGTTGAATGAACCCCAGGCTTTGGTCCCCTTCAAGGAAACCACCCGTTGGATGCTTTATAAGGGCCATTCCATGTCTCATTCCCAGCTGAGCGCCCGCCCATCGCAAGTCTTGCCCCTTCATCATGTATGCCCCATTCCCCCCTTGCCAGATGTCTCCCCCCCCCCAAATTCATGGCTGTGGCTCAAAATTAAACTGGAGGGGTTACGCGGGTTTTGGTCCATGTGTCCACTTCCCAAGGTTCCATTTTGGTACCGGCTTTTTGAGCCACAGCCATAAGGTGGCACCAGAAGACGTTTGTTACATAGGCCCTTGTTAAGCCCTTAATTCCACGCGTCCCTGCGTCCGTAGCGTAGCCTTTCAGCTTTCAGTCAGGGGGCCTGGAGCGTCCGGGTCCCGGGGCCGCGGCGTGTCGGAAATCTTTCGCCGCGTCCGATGAAGAAGCTTGCGCATGCGAACACCGTGGATGTGCGGCACGTGGAGCTGCAGGATGTGGCGCCTTGGACTGATTCCTCCTCGGTTTAACATGGAGCCCCAAAGCTGCCATTTTTACAGCGCTTTCGCGGATCATTATTTTTTTGGGTTCCCGTGCGGGCATAAAGCAGGCGTTGTAAGCCATGTGACCGGTTGACCTTTTCCGCAGGCTGGAGGAAAGGTCTCCAGATGGCCCGTCGGGAAGGGGACTGGAGGGCCAGGAAAGGAAGTCAGCTTGCCTTGCTGTTTGGAAATTTTCCAAAAGGACCGTCGGCGAGTTGTCCAAAAGGGGGTTGTGCCCTTCAATGTCGGGGTGAAGGAATGGACATGGACAATGGCAGGGTTTCTTTTTAACGTTTTCCGGGGAGGGGTAGGCTGTGGATTCTTGGGCCCTTCAAGGTGTCCATTGTTTCCACACCTGTTTGCTCGAGGAAAGGGCCTCTCTTTGGATTAAGGGGGGTCCTTAGCTTCGAAGCATCTCACCCATTTCCTTTGCAGGAGCTCTGTTTGGCGTTAGCCTTGGGGCCTAACTCGAGACGCACGCGGAAGCCGCTTGCGCGGAAGTGCTCCCTGAGTCCAATGACGAAGACGAAGTGCCCAACATCGTCAGCACGGGCCCCCGGCAGTGGACCGCGTGGTGGACGGACGAAACCCATGTCGCACCACTTCTTCGAATCCATGGAACCGTAAAATCATTCCCAGGGCGTCCTAGGTGCAGGATTTCGTCCACCCACAGCAGGGGCCAAAGAATTGAAATCCTTGCATTTCATTGTCTCCTATGATCGTGACTCAATTTGGTGAAGTGAAATCCCTAAGAATTGACTATTTTTTAGGCCCTTGTAGTGAGGGCTCGCCAAGGACTTGGGGATATCATTCAATTGAAATCGAGGAATTCAGATATTTGCAATGTTGGTTTGACATCGCAGGCTGGCACATTTTATTTAAGTTGTCATAGTCTCCGTGAGGAGGGAGAGGGAGAGAGAGAGAGAGAGAGATAATTGTTGCTTGATCTTCAACGTTGCTTTGTGTATGCTTGGTTTCGGGAAGCCAGGTGGCATGCGCATGTTTTGGGGTTTTGATAAAGCTACCGTGGATTCCCCAAACGACCAAACAAGAGCCACTGTGCCCATAGGTGAGCCAGAACAACCCTTGATTGTTAAGACGTGGTTCTTAGGACCAGACAAGGGAGACCTTAACCAAAACAATAAAAGAAACATAACATAAACAAGGACACAAACAAGCCCAAGCCAAAAAACAAAAAACATTGTCATAAAAGACATATCCCCACCCCGCTTTGCACATGCAATTGAGGGGGGTGACCCCTGGAGATCTCCATTTATGATGCCATTCTCTCTTGTATGGGGGAAGTAGATAAATGGAATTGGGCTTTGCCCCCTTAACCTTGGACACCAACGGACAAAGACCAAGGAACATGGGCTGGTCATGGGAACTTTGGTGCATTTTGCTTGGATGTTAGGACTTCAACCTTTTGCCAACTATTGGGTTTTCCATGAAACCACTAAAAGTTAAACTTGTAGCAGAACAGAAAGCAACCGAGGGAAGCTTCCTGGGACTGAGGAGTCAGAAGCTCAACGGCGCTCAGACCCCGGACGCTGCAGCTGGAAGAATCCGAGGTGAACCGCACCGCGGCAACGAGAAAGCTAGAAGTGGGTATGGGCCAAAATTACACCAACAGGGGACCCCAGGTGTTATATGTAATCCTGGGTTCCATTTACCAGGATTCCATTTTGGGTACGCATTTTTGGCGCATAGCCAAGTCTCGCTGCTTAGATTATATAGCTCTGCCTATGGCGAGCTCACCGGTTCGGGGGTATATGACAAAGGTCCTTGAGTAGGAGATCCCTTAGGTTCAGGTTGTGGAATTATAGTAAAGTTTGTCCAGATTAGCTAAATCGGCCACTGGCCCTATCTGGGTGGCTCGTCTTTTTCAAGCTGGTAGCCCCAATCTTTTGCGTGAACCAAGAGGACAACCCCCCAAATTTGCGGCGTCCCCTCAAAAAGACACACCGAGTTGGGCCCATCATGACCCGCCTAAGTGGTTGGTGGACATGAAACCCCACGAAAGTTTGATTTCCGCCATTTCGTCGCCCTATTACTATGAAAATCCATGCCCTATCTTTTTTCCATTGGTAACTAGCCAGGTTGTGGTCCCAGCCAGGTTGAATCGGTTGACAGGGGACCCTACTTCTCACAGTCAGAAGGCTTCGAGCAGAAGCCCTGTCCTTTGCCGAGGAAAATAGAGGAACCAACCGCCGGTCATTTTCCTTCACCAGAACGGCGTAACACTACCCCAGGCTTGTGGGATCATGGGGTGTATCCTCACTTCTGTGATACAAGGGAATCCCCTCTTTAAATGGCGGGGTAGTCTTTGGGGGGACCTTTTGCTTGTATCACAGAAGTGGATTCCATTTCCCACAGCCCTGCACAACTTCGATTGTGGGATGAAGGCATCAAGAAGCTGCCGAGCCTCATGAAGAAGATCGACGAGCCGCCGCCTCTGAAACCGCGGAAGCGCCCGAAATAAATGGGCCGTGGTGGGTCAAAACCAACGCTACCATTTGGCTGCTCAAAAAACCGGAATTCCAAAATGGAACCCTGGTAAGTGGAAATATCGACCAAAACCTGCGTAACCCCTCTTGTGTAATTTTGAGCCACACCCATTTTGGGGTAGGTGAATTCACCACCCATTTTAGTGGGGATTGCAGGATTTTGACCCATGGCCATATAGACAGCGGCCGCCGGCCGCCCGAAAACGCGGTGGATGTTCGGTCACCCCCTAAGCATTTGAGGCCTTGACGGTTTTCAGGGCGCTTGCAGACACATAGTTCTAGAAGCGTCCATAGGCCGCTTCCCATGAAAAGGTGACTTCCTTCATCATGTTCAAAGGCGAGTCGGGATACATCCGGATCAAGCGAATCAGGGGCGGGAAGACATGAGTTTGTATCAACAGGGTTGGTTTCCTTAAAACCAACAAGAAAGGTGTGTGTGTGTGTGTGTGTGCGTGTGTGGTGCCCTACTGTGGATGGACCCATCCTTTGAAACCATGGGAAACCAGTGCTGGCTGGTAATTACAGGGGAATCGTCATTCCAGGCATTCTTGGGTGGTGCAGGATTTCGTCCCTCCACTGTATTTTGAAGACCCAACCTTTAAACAAAACAAAATAGCCATGGCCGCCCGAGTCGACTCAACCGCTTTGCTCGACTCGATGGAGCTCAGGCAGCCAGCAGGCAACCCCTAGGTGGTTTGGTTGGCTTGGGATTTGAACTGGTTTGTTTAGAGTGCAACACTGGAAGCACCAACCAGGGGGAAGCTGACAAAGGAGGGTGGCTTCCCTGTTTGGAGTGCAATGTCACTTTAATTGGTCCCCCTGACCAAATAGCCCCTTTTCGTATACAGTATACATGAACTTTTCCCCAACAGCTGAAAGTTTTGCGTCTTTGTGCAGATAGGCGTGGGGCAGCCTTCAGAGGGTCGTTCCGCGGGCTGTTGGGGAATATCACCTCGGCTTGTTGCAAACATGCACCGTGCTGCTCCCTGCACGCCAGAGTTAGGGAACCATCCGTGCTGCGCCCTTTGAATCTGCGCGAATTTGCATTCCGCATGTTTCTTCCCATCTCACTCGTGGCCCTGCGTCAGGATGGGGCTGTCAGAAGAGTATGCCGCGCCCTGGCAGCATTGGATCCCTAGGTGTATTCCCAAAACCCTGGGTCATTCCCTCTTGTGCACCAGCAAGTTTTGTTTGGTGGGTTCCCCACTTTATGTATGGTTCCCCGTTTCGGGTATAAAGAGTCAAGAGCCTGGTTTCCTCCGCAGCTGTTTGGCTTTTAGCTTGGGCTCTCCTTGGGTGGGAGAGCCTTGCCCTCGGTGCCAGGGCAAATTCGGGACCGCAGACTTCTGTGGTGTCTGCCGGCCCCGGACTGAGTGGGAGACTTTGTGAGGTCTCCCGCCTTTGCGGGGGAGGATTTGCATTTCCTCCTGAGGCGCTTGAGGGAGTCTCTGGGTGAGCTCCAGGACTCCTCCGCCCTCATCCTTTTGGGGAGGGCCGCGGAAGG